CTATTCTGTAGCTGAGGCGACAATAAATTAATTGGCAAAGGGTTTATTTTGACAAAATAGACTTTGACAATAGTTAGCAGAAACTTGCATAAGTTCCACTAAATAATTGGATTGCAGCAAAACAGCCAACAAAAGAATGCGAATGTTAACGTTCCTGGAGACACCGGGGCGATATCTCTCCAAGTTCCACTTCAGTCGAGGTCTAAACAATAATAAAATCATAATAGTTATTGGCTTTTATAATGCAAAAAAAGAAAATGGACGCAGAAATGTAACATGTGGCAGACAAACAGGGATTAGACAATTTCTCGATTCTTCTGCAAAAAATACAACTGTCAACAAACGCCAGGTAAGCGCCTCAACATACAAAACAGGTCACCGTATACGTGAAAACCGCCACAATTCGTCATTATTAACAGACAGGGAAGACTTTGAAGTACTGTGATCCGGGCTACTGTGTTAGCAAAACTAAAACAGGTCACCGATAAGAACACCGCACATTATGTCTAAACGGCACTACTAGCTCAGAATTTAGCCCTATTCTACAATATTTGATTGTTAGTCGGTTTATATGATCGGTTAACCTACAACACTGCGGAGAAAAACACGACGCCAAAATCCACTACAAAAGTTCGCAGGAATTTAGCCGTAGTCACACAGAACGAGAAGCATGAAGAGGAAAGGAAACATCGAACTGTAGTCTAAGGAGAGCTACTCAAAACTTAACGGCAATATCATCCGTACCGTGATTATAACTATATGGAAAGGAAAACCATCCTCGATTACTTCCAGGTACTTCATTCCTCACAATGGTTCATCTAGACGGCTCGACGGTGCTACTGAAAATTAATTAATCATTCACAAGCTAATAATCCTACTTTAATCCCATGGACAACTACACGGGGTAAAAGTTTATTTAAAAAACAATAAGATCCAAAACGTGATTATTAAGTTAACGAAAAACTAACAAGTTGATTTCGAAGAATACATACCATCTCCTGCTGAACTTGTGGGCGGCATATGACCACCTGGTGGAACGAAAGTGGACCCACCCGCGCCCTTCATATTTTCTTGCATTTTCTTCATAAGATTAGCGAACTTTGGATTTTTCGCGGCCTTGGCAAAGGCAGCAGGATTTGACATCCCTTCCGAAAAGGCAGCTTGGATTTCCGGATCCTAAAAATCATGGTTTATTAGATATATTTGGATTTAGTAGGCATGGAAAGTTTGAAAATGCAGCATCGTGAAGAAGATACCTGCATGGCTGCCATCATCTCTGGGTCAGAAAGTAGGGAACCGAAGATATTCTCCATACCCGCGGGCATTTGTCCAGGCATGCCAGATGGCATATTAAAATGCGGTTCATGTGCACGTGCCTTGGCCTCCTCCTAAACGCGACATAATTTGACAGATTATCAAACATTTGAAGACAAGCCAGACATAATAGATTTCAGAAGGCAAAGGGAAAGTAATCAAGTAGACCCAGTGGAGACATAAGCGTGTTCCACATTGTGCTTGATTACGCTCATAACGACGCTTAAAGCAACAAGAAAGTATGTTCAGGACAGGATTCGGGGCGCCTAAAAGTAGTTACTTGGACTCCCTACAGTAT